TCCGTACTCCCAGAAGGGGCGGGGCGGAGGCAGCCAGTGCTCAGAGCTGTCCGGAGCACACTGCACAGTGCACCAGCAGTGATTTAAAGGGGCCGGGGCTGCCGCAGTCTCCTAACAGCTGCTTGCAACCCAGCCTGTTCTTTAGGTCCTGGGGCCTGCACACCGAAGCAGGGGAGGAATATAACATTTAGAGCAGTGCTTTCCAGTGTCTCCGATGAGTGCCATTGTAATGCATTCAGGCAGCAGGGAGGAGCAGAAGGTGATCGCTTTCATGGCCCCCCCTTGGAAGCACTTCAATCAGCTGTGGCTCTTCCCCCGAAAGAGCGGCTCGCGAAGCCGCCCGCATGCCCCTGAAAACAGCCCCCGGCCTGATGTGGGCCAAAAGCATTTCTTAAAGGGGCAGTCAGACCACGGCTGTTGCCAGTCCAGAGTCCTGAACCAGAGAGGTTCAACCACTAGCAGGGTTTGCCCAGAATTGCAGCCCCTGCCACCACGAAAAGGACTAAGGGTGGAAGGCTTCATCGCCCTGACTCCTCGGCATTGGCCAGAGGGACAGGAGGGCCATGGAGGGACGAGGGCCTGTTTCCTTAAAGGGATAGCAAGCTGCTCCTTCAGGCATCATGCTTCCTGCCGGGGGAACTCCCGACCACCCCCAACACTGCCCTCTGCCTTCATGGCCCACTCTGGACCTGCGACTCCTGGCAGCTTCACGAGATCCACCATTCTACCCATTGTAGAGATGAATGAACAGCGTATGCTCCAATAAATCTGTTAGTCTATAAGGTGCCACAGGACGTCTTGTTGTTCCTGCAGATTCAGAACACGGCTACCCCTCTGATAATTGTAGAGATGAGGCACTAAGAAGCTGTATGTCTTGTGAAGGCCGCACAGTGATCGTGCCAGGCAGAGAAACCCAGTGTCCTGATGCCTAGTCCGCTGCTCCAACCGCTAGGCAACACTTCCTCCATTCCACTGTCATTCCCTGATTAAAATGAGCTTGTCATTAAATAGGTTTTACTCTCAGGAGAAGAGGAGGGAGAAAAGCGTAAATCTCTCTACCAGTCTCCTACCACCAACCCCAGTGCAGGCAAGTTTAATCGCTTCTTTCCAATTGGCTGGAATACTGGGTTAAATTCCAATCGGTAGGCCAATCAGAGCCCAGCCATTCCATAATGGTCCAGGACTGTTCACTATCAACCTCCTAGGAAAGTGGCACCTTCTTCACTGGAGTAACTCCTGGCTTTAAGGCTTTAAAATTATTATTTTTTTAATTCAGAGCATTTAAGGCTAATTGAAACTCCAGCTTCTGTGCTACCCCTGCCACCGCCTATCTGCTTTAGCTTATTGAAAGAGCCACCTGCACCCAGTGGAGAGGCATTTTCATTTTTTGAATTTTTTTCAAATGGTGGGCAGTTACAATGGCACGGATGGACTTTGGGGTTAGGGCCCTGCTGGTAGAACTCTCTGCTTCCTATTAGGCTCTCCAGTTTTGCTGGTCCCTCTGCGGATATGACAAGAAGCAAGGGAGGTTTCGGCTGGACATTAGGGAAAACTTCCTGTCCGGGTGGTGAAACACTGGAATAAATTGTCTAGGGAGGTTGTGGAATCTCCATCTCTGGAAATATTCAAGAGCAGGTTGGACAGACACCTGTCAGGGATGATCTACCTGGTACTTGGTCTCACCATGAGGGCAGGGGACTGGACTAGATGGTCTCTCGAGGTCACTTCCCGTTGTAGCATTCTGAGATTCTGGGGATTTCAACCCATGTCATAATCTTTAATTACAGATTCATCTTTAATTCCTTGAGAGTCCAGCCCAATCCTGGAGAGTTGGCAGCCTTAATTCCTACTAATGTCCATCAGTCAGGGCAAGAACATAAACTCATGTCCTGTTAAATGACACCCCCCTGAAGGTTTCTGCCCTGTGACCCAGTTGGATTGGGAGAGTCTGACTGAGCTGCAAAGTGCTGGGAGGTTTGTACTTGTACCCACTGCCCTCTAGAGGCCACTGTCA